ATTGAAATTTTTTATACAAGAGGACTAGTACAGTAGAGTATAGGCATAATGGAATCAAAGCAACGAGGGGACGGAGAGGTCACAGGTCTACAGGAATTATTATAAATAAAAGTGATAAAATTGAATAAAATCACTTTGAAATAAACGCTTTGATGCTTATTTGTAAATACAGAACCTCAATTTAATACTTTCTAACTTTGCTGGTTTATACTGTGCTTGGTTTGGACTGTACTGGCTTTAAAATACTAACTACCGATTTGCATCGAAGCGTTTTTTCGAAAGTGATTTTATCACTTTCAGATTTAAAAATTCCTGTAAACCTCTGACCTCCCCATCACCACTATGCCCCGACCCCACTGTACTGTTTTTTTTTGCAAGAACCTAGTGGACTAAATAACATATTTACAATGTCTTGTTAAATTTAGTTGGAATGGTGGACGATTCATGTTACAATCGTTTGTACTCCATAGTTTAAATTATAATCGCTTATTCTCAATAAAATTAATATTTATGTATTATATACTTCCATTAGAGCCTTCTCACACAAACTATTTATACTTCATAGGTTATATTATTTCAAATCTCTATTATACTTCTATTTTACTAGATTGACAATGTACAAAACAAAATGCAACTGAAAAAACCTCTTAATAGATCCTTAAATTGTAAAGAGTGGGGCAGTGAAACAGATTTTTTCATTTAAATACATTGGAAAATCGCCCGTTTTACTGCCCCACCCTGTATATTAATTTCTTGTTGTTTTCTAAAGAAAAATTGAGTTTCTAACATATTAAAATTAAATCGTAAACTGGTACTGTGATGGAGAAAACAATACATTTTACCTACATATATTACTTATTAGTTAAAAATTACTAACGTTTATAACCACTAGCTGTCGGCTGTTGCCTGTTATTTAACATTAATCTTTTATGGAGATTTTAAAATTGTGTTTTTTTAATAATAGTATAGGAACAGTATCATAAAGTTAAATGTTCGCGAGATTTGATCTAGTCATAAAATAAAGTATTATCATTCATGACTTTTAATAATTATTAAAATACATCTTAATTTGAACATAGTAATAAAATAATGAAATATTTTATACAAAATTAGAGCTGTTAAAGTTGATAGACTAAAAAATTAAAATTGGCACGAAGCAGATTATCGAATACTAGATAATTAAAACAATCAAGCGTGATCTCTTTTAATGAATAACTGTATAAAAATATGCAAAACATTAGTGATCCTTTAAAACAATTTTATAATATGAAATACATTTTGGGGCGGTATACTGCATAAAAACCAACACTTTATCTGGATCCAAAAAAAAAACAGTCCTCTTCATAATTTGCAGGTAGTTGGACTTTATATACTCATAGTTGACCTTCGGTACGGTAATATAAGGCGGGCGATAAAATATTGAGATAACGACAGTGGTTTTGTTGTGTCAGAACCATTAAGTGTCTTAGCAAGCACACGGATCGGGTTTTTCCCAATAAATAGTGTATCTACTATAATCTGTTACACGATTTAGTCGTCTGTGATATCATGTAATGAACACGGGTAGACGTTACTAACCGACAGCTTTTAGCGTCTATTCGTTTCTCACAACTGGTACACCATGTTTGTAGTTTACAAAAAAAATTGTGTTTATAGAGTTGCTACTCGAAGGAATTGGTTCAGTATTAAAAAAGTTACAGTGTATACAGATTAAAAAGAACACACATCAGAGTAAAACCAATACCTTCTCTGCTTTGCATCGAAGCTAAAAGTGTTTAAATTACAATAAAATACAGACGTGTAGCTAGCAAATATTTTTACAATATTAGTTGTTCAGTTATTATAGTGCAGAAATATCATATGACATCGAACATAGTGGAAACTACAAATACTAGAATGTAATTCTAGTATTTACTAATGTAATACTGGTTAGGTAGTAAGGTCCTTACTTGTCCATTCTCTCCATTATAGTATCGACTAATAAATTGTTACAGATCTGGGCTATATCTCTACCGTTCTGATTCACAAATCCGTCCATACTATATCTTATTTTCAATTCAAAATGACCAATGTCAATATCTTCAGACGTAACTGCATGAATTTGGTTCATTCCGTTACTAAAAAAAAAAAACATAATATTTTAATGAGAAATATGTATGTGAAAACATTTTTTCAATCGGAAATATTTATGAGAAAATTATCAAGTCACACTTTCACTACAAGTATTATAGGTAATGTTTAGTAGGTTAAAAAAATTTACTTGAAAACTATCGGTTTACCTACTAGATAAACCTACGACACAACTCTAGAATTATGACAGGAGGTATTTTTCTGTTATTTTTTTATAAAAAAAGTGATTATTCAACACCGGCCCGGATAGAAATGTAAAACTACAAGTAAGTAATATTAAGTATCCTCCATATCATATCATAAAATAAAAATTAAATTGACAATATTTTTTATTGCAAAATACTTAAATAATCTTTTTAATACCTATGTTGTATCTTCTTGACAAGTTATTTTTACTGAGTTTAAAATTCACTTAATATCTCTTATACTTAAGAAAAATGAAAAATTTAGCATTTAACACACACTTTTTTTTAATTCCAATCATTACACCGCACTGGTATAATATCTTATCGACCTTAATATAATATTATATTATATAATAGCTATGAAAAATATCTACCTTCTCACTATTAGTGAGTAACATTTTGTTTATTTTACTATCAATTGTTTTTCATATAAATTACCATACTTACCTGATGATTTAAAAACCAAGAAAAATAATATATTTAAAATATTGTCAGTAATTTAAATAAGTTTTTTTTTTGTGCCTCACAGTTATATAGAAATTATAAGTTTTCTATTATTTTTGTACGAAAATAATATTATACGACACGGTAAATAACAAATAAAATGTAAAAATACTCACAGTGGTTCGTTTATCCGTAATCTGTTGTAAACTAAGACCATTTTGATACTGTAGTGGGGTTAACTAAAAAAAAAACCAAATTGTTGGTATATCAAGAGGCCTAGGTGGTTTCTACAATGCAAACGACAAAAAATACATCGAAATTAATGACTTAAGCTGTGTCGAAGGAGATTTTTCGTTTTCTTCGCAGTTTTCTTCTCAGCCAAAATAAAGCGCTTCAGATCCACAAGGACTATTGCTGTTGAAAAATCGGCGATCTCGTATCGAAAAAAACGTTCTTTGCTGATCCAAAGGCGAAAACACCAAATAAATAAATATTCAATTGGTATCCGTCAAGACGCAGCACCGACCGACTATACTACAAGCTGTGTATAGAATGTAATATGTACATGGGCCGAGCATTATTGATCATATTTCGTCTCATCTCGAGACAATATAAGGGTCAGGAGTCTGCGTAATGCCGTTCATCTCGTGAAGAGGAGGTTGGAATTACTTTTCGTCCTAGCGACAGTGTAGACAAAAAAGATCAATATAAAAACAAATTCTTTTGGTCGTAGTGAAATTCGAAAAAAACAATAAATATCCAGCAATTAATTGTAAGCTCATAAACACACTTCGTATATAATTTGTCGTCTTGCCACACTGCCATAATATTCTTGTGTGGTCTTAGTAATATATATATTGACAACTAGAGGTCGCCACGTAATCCGTCAACACCGTTAACCCTCCAATGCCCACTGTAGTAGAAATGCAACATTTTTATAACATAATAATTTTGTTTTGTTAGAAAAAATACATTTAATTAAAGTGGCGCCCAAATGTATCTAAGAAATTGCTATCGACCAACTGATGTTGTTAAAGTGGAATTTTTAGATGTATACTTTTTTTGCTAAATTTCTGTAATTCCTGAGCATTTAATTTATATAAGACAAACTTTTATATATTACAACATTTTAAAAAAATGGCGAAAATTTGACGATTAAATGCGGAGAATTTATAACTAAAGTCAATCCGACGATTAGTGCTTAGATTATCTACACATTCTAACTTACATTGCCATTGGAATTAATATATTAGCCACTTAAATACATTTTTACTTGTGAGTTGGCCGGTTTTGATCAAGCGGTATTGTCATAAATCAAGCTTTTGCTAAACTTAAAGTGTAGTACTAGAAAGCTGACAGAAATACTCACCTGTTATAATTTTATAAATCAAAATATTCGTTTAAAATAAAACGTAATAGAACAAATCATTTTCTTACAATTTTATAAGAATTAAAAATATTTTCTACTTTTTATCATTTAAAAAAAAAAACATTTTTCTTCTTTAACATTGCAGTTACTTTGCACCGCATTTTGAATTGTTTTTATTTAATTATGCATATCATCCGAGGTATTTTATTATGATCTTTAAAAATTTTTTGGTAACCTTTAGGCTTTTAACGAACGTATAAACATGATTAATTTTTCACCATTTGTATTATTTTGATTTACCCAGCAACCCACCCTGGACTGTACCTGAGGTACGCCAGGCCATACAGCGTACAAAAAACAACACATTGTCCCTAAAAACCAGCTGCTCAACCCCACTGCACGACGATTCCCATTCCCAGGTTACCCTAACCCTCCCGACGGCAATCGTGGATGACTCAGATTACCATGTGTAAATATTAATGTTGCGTCCATTGAACGGGCATAAGTACTCACGAGTCATACCGATTGGTTACCTTCAGTTAGGCCAATAGATTTATAAGTTACCATTCTAAATTATACCTCATTGTTTATATATTTATTTTTTACACTTTAATAGAGTTATTTAATTAAGCACATTGTCGTTATTTATTTATTTAAACCCATCCTGTTTTTTTTACCACTTATAGTTAGAGAAGGCAAACGTGAACGTATATAAAAAGCCAAACGTTACAATATTAATCAATGTATTTTAAATACACAATTTAAAAAACTATATTATACAGAACTCCAATGAAAAAATTAATTTTAGTAGTTACCAAATATTCTTAATTTATCTTCTTGAAAAATTGTATTCATTTTTTTTTTACCTCAGAAATATGTATGGAAAAAATAAGAGAACGATTTATTATTTACCAATTAATGATTACAGTATTAATTACATTAAAGTGTTACATTTGACGATAATAGTGATAAATATTAGTTTTATTATCATTATTTAAATGGCTGATTACTGGAAGATAGTTCAGTTGACTGATTACTAGCAGATGATTCAGTTGACTGATTACTAGCAGATGGTTCAGTTGGTTGATTACTAGCAGTTGATTCAGATCGCTCAAACGTTTTATTAACATTTGTTGTTTCTTTAAGTAGCTTTAGATCTCTTATTTGAAACATCATGTGTTCAACTAGATGTACTAAAGGAACATGACAATCGCGACAAATTTCACTCACTAGATCATGAAATAATCTTTTATTTATGTTGTCTAAAAAATAAACAAAACGTATATTTATTATAAAAATATTTGTATTATTTAAACAAATTAAAATTTATGGAACAAAATTATTTCCCACTCAACTTATACTTTAAATATTATCAATAGTTACTCTCCTTAATATTTACATTATTACATTTAATAACAATTTCATGCTACGTTTTTATGTGCTTAAAACTTTAAAAATCTAATAGTTTTTTACCAAAAAATCATTTTTTATTCATTTTTTAATTCGTATCAGGTTTGCAAAAAAAAAATTATCAACATATTTTTCTTTATTTCGCTTTTCTAAGATTATTTTAAAAACATAATTTCTTAAAATTAGACTGTATCTATATTTATAACATATTCAATGTTTTTCAAAATTTTAATTCACACTTTTTATGACAGTATTTAGTTATACAGGTTCATAAATCTAACACATTACTTAAACTAGGATGATTTTACTCTGACTTATGTTTTTTAACAGTATACTAACAAAAATAGAATTAGATCTAATTTAAGATCATTAAACAAAACTTAGCACCTCATCATTTTTTAACATCTTTTATTAAATTTGTATGTTTGCCAAATATATATGGAAAAAAAAAATTGGGAAAATTTTTGAGGAAGGAAAGATTGTGTTTTCCCACTCTAAAAATATTTTTTTTTTTTAAACCAAAAAAAAATTCGAGTTAGGGATGAGAAGTCCATGTGAATTAAGGAAGGATATCGTCGAGGTAGCAATGGAATCAGCAGTCTCTTCGATAACGACTTCAGAGAGACTTGGGATACAAAGAAATTCCACACTTACCAGAACCGCAAGTACGGAGCAAGAGAGAAATAATATTGAAAATAAAGGGATATAAAATCAAGATTAATAAAGAATAAAGATTATTGAAGGATGGAGCAATTACGCTAAATCTTCATTGTTAGAAGAAGAAATAAAAATAAGAGCATATAGATGTAGAAATGATACTTAATATTTTGCATAAGGAAATGTTGTTAACCTACAAAACTGAATAGGAGCAAGCTAAGAGATATTCGAGACTAACTGAGATACTCGAGATAACAATATTGCGGTTCTCTACTGATAAAAATTAATGATTAAACTAATTGGTTACCTTTTAGTGGAAGTGCACGTTCATGCTCATAAAAGTATTTGTAAACAGCCAATTGAGAGTCATTATCGTCACCGACGAGATATTCAAATTGTTTTTTCGTAAGACCAAATGTTCGATTAAAAAGTATCAGAGCCTCATTGAAAACTTGTAGTACAGCCTAAAAAATTATTTTTGAAAATGGGTTTTAAGTCTGAATCTTTAAAAAAAACTCTATTATAGCCATTTAATAACAGTATAAATAGTGTGCACATACAACTTAGAATTCGAGTAAAATGTCGAAATCTTCATAAAACATATTTTTCTTAGACGGAAAATTTTAAATTGAAGGAATATTCAGTATTTATCAGATTTTTAAATTCCCAAATTTATATTTATCTTTCTAAATATATTCTACTCATAAAATCGAATTGTCCTGTTTTTAATTTTTATTCGAATACATAATGCTTAATAACACTATTTTTTTTTTTTTAGTATTAATTAGAAATTGTTAGTTGCAAAGTAACAAATTCGATGAACTAACGTATAAACCTCATAATTTTTAAGAAAACTACTAAACGTCCATAGATTTCAGTAAATCTTTAACGCCCTATTTCGTGATCCGGAAAATTAGTTTCAGTATTAAGTCTAAAATATTGAATTAAATTTAACTTTGTATTACTTCATCCTCCGGTTCGTATAATTCCTCGACACAAATAATTGTTGACATACACGTTAAGAAAATAATTAGTTTAAGAAACATTTTAACGTATAAATTTAGTGATATGATTTTATAGCTAATGCGAACTTTTAACCTCAACTACAAAACGAATACCTCTTAGTAGTTCTACAGTGGCCAGTTTTAGAGTGAATTGAAATTTGCAAACGTTGTACTGTGGTAGTTTATTGAACTTTGTACGAAATGATAGTTCGCGATGAAAAACACTTGAGTAAACTTGAATACTCGATTTTTACACATTGTTCTTTTTCCTCGATAAAATGTACATATTTTTTTGCACCATTCAATTTCTTAGACCTACCTTGACAAAAATATGTAATAAATCATTATACTAAGGGGAAATGTTATATAATTTTTACTTTAGCTAAACTGTATAAAATATGGTCGATTTATGTTTTGAATTTATAAACAGAGCTGTATAATATAATATAATAAATACAAATCTGAGACCAAGCACAATTGAACACATATACAGGATGACCTTTTATCATGAACCAGTCAATATCTCACTGGGTTAAATTAATAATTTAATTTTTTTTTCATACTATTTTTATACAGTGTGATTTAAATTTTTCACAATTTTGTTTGTTTTTACCCCACTCCCAACTTAGATTTTTTGATAACAACTTTTGAAACTTAAATGGTAACGTATATTTCTTATTACCTTTTTAAATAAGTATTAATGTATTACAAACTCTATTTTTGAAGTTATAAGAGTTTAAAAGTTAGGGAGGGAAGGGAAGTGCTGTTAGGAAATGTTAGAAATTAAGTCAATTTTTTGGGCGTTTTTCTCGATTTTGAAGGAGAAGCCCGGAATTATTTTTGACTCAATAAAATAATTTTTAGGTACGATTGATTTCTGATCTATAGAGGTCTTACACGAAGAAGTCGGTTCTGCTGTCATTGTGGTATTGTGAGTCCAGTCTCAGGTCTCCCGACACAAGAAAATATAAGCACATCGTTGTTAAAACAATATCTTATCAGGTCCGCTAGCAGTAATATTGCTAATAAACCTAATAATTCACCTTTGAATTTTAATGTATCTTTTTTATTATAATAATTATTTTGTATTTATTGAAAAACAAAATTGTCATCAATTTCCAAGTGCTCCCAGCTAGGAAAAATGTGTTATAATTATAATTTAATATATAATAAAAAAATGTGTAAAAACAATAATTAATAAAAAAAAATGATTAACTTTTATAATAATTTACAACTTACAATTATATTAATAGTATAGTAAAATAATAATTCAATTATCTAAACAATTTGTTTATGAAACGAATTGTTATGTCTATGGGAATATTTGTAAATATAGCTGCCACGTTGAATGATACCAGCCTGTGGTTCGGTGGGATTGAAATAATTAATTTATCAAATATTATTTGTATGAACAAGTGTTAAAAATAAAAAACTAAATTATCTACTTATGCTTTTCTAACTATTTAACTAGATGAAAACCTTAAGCTACTGTAAAATGCCTTATGAATATAACAAGTTAGAATACTCAACCCCAGTATATTACTATATCATATTTAAAAATTAAAAATGATAGCCAACATTTGTGCATTTTTGCTATATTGTTTTGCTATAACGTCAAATATAAAAACAACCGAATCGGCAGGTAACCAGGTAAGCATTTTATTTTTTTAATATATTTTTTTCTCTGAAATAATTCGTATTATATTTTTCGGTAGATAGCAGTTGTATTTTTCGATAACGAAAACATGTTTTGTAATATTTAAAAATTTCAACCAAATATAAAAAAAATACTAAGTTTTTTTTGTATACTAATTTTATAGTTGCACAAATTAATTTTTTCTATTATTTTGTAGTCATAATAATAAAATGTTTGACAATATATCAAAATAAACTATGATTATCAGTTGCATCATACTGAAATTAATTTTCTATTACTTTAAGCAAAATATATAATTTGGATAATATTGATTTGGTATGCTGGTGTAGTTATATTTATTTGTTGTCAACAGTTGAATAATTATTATTGAAATAGATATTAAACAACAAAATCTAACTAGGTTAATTTTTTATAATTATGCAAACTTGTTTTTTTTTTCAGGTTACTCCTGTACAATTTTTTTATCCGTTATGTACTGGATGGTATGTGAATACCGTAGATCGCTTGAAAACTTACAGCAAACACCCAGTCGCTATTAAAACTGCAGAACAAAATATTCTCAGCGGATCTTGTGATAACTACAAAGGTATAAAATTAAAAACGAAAATTCGGGCGAAATTAGAGACAAAAGTTCAAGACATCAAATGCAGTTTTTGTGCGATTGCAAAAACAAACATATTGTTCTTGACAATCGTGGTTGATCGTTTAAGGAGTGGAGAGCCTTATATTGTCGACGGGGATATCGTCGAACGTCTTAAAGAGGAAGCCGGAATCGTAGTTCACTTATTGCTGTTTGGAAATATGGAGACGGACAAATGGCTTTGGATGTACTACTTGAAAATCATTGCCCTCAGCCGATACGACGAAAACAAACGTTTCATCCGGGAAAACCCATTCGAAGACGACCAACTGCAAACGGGCGTTTCGGATTTCATCGAATATTGTAAGGCCGAGAAATACCTCCCTTCGGCCAAAACAACAGTGGACTATGTTTTGAAAAATCCCAAAGTATACAAAAACATGTTCAGCGTTCTACGCACTTCCGAATCGATTATCGGTATTTTACTGGACCGTGATTTTTTCTCGATAGATTTTCTATATCTTAAACCGTTTTGGGAAGATAAACGATTGTTGTTCGGACAAATCACCGGAGCCCGCGTCGATTGGAGTCAGGCGAAACACAGGTTCGAGCTCGAGGTGGCCGTGACCAGAGAATTTGTGAAAAACCGCACTTGGATATACGAACCGTACGGTCGCCTCGACCACCAACTGTTGTTGGTGAAAATTATCGATGCCAGGATCTTCTGCCACGTGTCGGTTATACTGCAATTATACGAAAAACAATTATCCATGCTCGACGAACAGACGCTGACACACATCCGAGAACTTATCAACAACGTTCTGCTGGAAGTGGTGAAGTTTTTGTCGTTCAAAGACGATTTTCTACTGAATATCTTATCGGAATTCATGTACGCACAAGTAAAAGACGAGAACCACATAACAGACATTTCGGCAAGAGTTTTAACAAAAGCCAACGATAGCTTAAACGATTTGAACGGTGACGAAAAGGTCGAAATCGATTGGATCGGTTTCAGTCAACGCCAACTGTCCACCGACGTTTTCATGATAAAAGTCATTAACGAACTCGACGATTATTTGAATGATTTTGCCAGCTTTGTGCGGTTCGAATATAAAGTGTTTTTACATTTTATAGGTGTAGTCAAGCCAAAAACACACTATTGATTTCATACTGGTTTTACTTTGGAAACATTTTTTTTAATTAGTATATTTACATTGTAACATTAGAAAACTTCAAATATATTTATTCATTCAACACATTCTATATTTGTATTGGAAAATATACTATTATTATTCATTCTGGCTACATAGAAATTCAATGAATCCCATCTAAAAGCGATCCAGGTTTTTTTTTTAGACTATTTTACTTTTTTTCAAATATCTAGCCGGCATAAGTTGGCACGAATCCCATTTAATTATAACTCAAAAACAAGGTATCATGAAAAAAATAAGTAAATCAAAATGCCGGGATAATAAATCAAAACCAACACGATATATTTCTATTAGATATTTCATAATCATTGAGTATATATTATGCCTAATAATATTATTTACATACACACAAGTACGAATATTACATGTTCAAAAGTACATATATTTTTACCAAACAATCAATTCAATATCTGTTCGTTTATATAGTATATTAAAAAAAATCTTAGTTTAAAATGTTATATATCAATAGAAATATGTTAATAATATAAATATTTGTGTTTAAGAGGACTTTCGTGACTCGTCACACTAGACAATAACGTCGAAAACTATTTTAAAGAATAGGTACGATATATCGTCCGCTGCTATTTTAACTTTAAATTAATAACACAATGTCCATAAATCAAGTTGTAGCGTTATAAAAGTAAAATATATTAACGAAAAAAATTGCAAATTGTATAAACAAGTGTTGTATGGTTTATTACAATTTCAACAAGATAAAAATCTTTGGCTACCATTTACTGTCGTGTGGGTACAATAGGTTAGTATGAATTACACCTTATTAAATGCAATACTTGTATTATATTATAGTATAATTTAAAAATAACTATGATTGCCAACGTGTGTGCAGTTTTGTTATGTTGTTTTGCTTTAACGGCAAATATAAAAACAATCGATTCGGCAGGAAGTCAAGTAAGCATTTATTTTGCAATATTTTTTTTTCTTTAAAATAGTTTTAATTTGCAAATTTTTCGTTAACCTTGATACGTTTAATAATAAAAGAAAGTTTCTACAAAAAAAAAAAAAAAATATATATATATATATATATATATATATACTACGCTATTGTTAAAATACACGTAAAATTTAGTACCTAAACTTTTTTATCGTTGCACAAATTAATTGTTTCTATTAATTTGTAGTCATAATAATACTTATGCAGACGAAATAAATCAAAATAAATTGTTTCTATTAACATGTAGTCATAATAATACATATTCAGTCAAAATAAATCAAATCTAAATAAACTATACTTAACAGCTGCGTCATTCTGAAATTAGGTTTTTTGTATTTTAAAGCTAATTAATCATCGGACAATTCATAGATTGTTTCGAGTCTACATTTATATTTTTAATGGTTTAATAAACACCATTATCATATTGATTGAACGAAAAAATCCAACTTTATTTTAAGTTATTTTTTTTATAATTATGTAAATATATAAATGTATTATTTTAGATTGCTCCTATCCGATTTTTCACTCAAACATCCAATGAAGACTTCGTACTTACTGTAAATCGCTTGATAACATTCAAAAAACATCCAATTAACATCACATCCACAGACGTGACAATTCTGTCAACACCCAATTGGTACACCGTTAAAGATTACAAATTAAAATTGAAAAGTCGGGACAAATTAGAGAAAAAAGCTCAAGACATCAAATGCAGTTTTTGTGTAATTGTAAAATCAAAAATATCGTATTTAAAGAACTTAATAGAAAAGTTAAAAAGCGGAGAGCCTTTTAATAACAATGACGAGGAAATTGTAACGCGTATTAAAGAAGAAGCCGAAATCGTACTTCACCTATTGCTGTCGGGAAACTTAGAAACAGACAAATGGCTTTGGAGTTATTATTTGAAAATCGTCGCCATCGTCGATTACGATGACGATTTCCGGGAAAACCCATTCGGAGACGACCAACAGCTGCAATCCGACATTTCAGAATTCATCGAAAATTGTGTTGCCGAAAAATACCTTCCTGTCACTGCGATGGAATGTGATTTTCTTTCGAAAAAGTCCAAGATATACGATAATTTGTTTGGCGTTCTACGAGATTCCGAATTGTTTGAAGACATTCTAGCCGGCCGTGTCGTTTTGGTGACGATAGCGTTTTTATATCTGAAACCGTTTTGGCTGGACGGAAATCCGATATTGTTTGGACAAATAGCAGACGTCAATGTCGACTGGAGTAAGGCAAAAAAACGATTTGATCTCGAGGTGGCCATTACCAGAGAATTTCTGGACAACCGCATTTGGGTATACGAACCGTACGGTCGCCTCGACCACCAACGCTTGTTGGTCAAAATTATCGATGCCAGGATTTATTGTTACCTTTCGATTGTGCTTGATATTTACCTAAGACAATTAACCATACTCGACCATCGGCTTCTAACACACATCAATAATCTTATATACAACATTATCAACGACGCAATGAGTTTGACGGCGTTTAAAGATGAATTTCTTGTAGCCATTGTGTCGGAGTTCAATTATGTAGAATTAACCGACGTCGACGACATAAAAGACATTTTAGCTAGAGTGAGGACAAAGGCCAATGAGATCCTAAAAGGTCTAAGTGTAAACGAAATCGATTGGCTCAGTTTCGGCGTTGACGAACGCCAACTGTTCAACGAAGATTTGATAACAGAAATCATTGACAGTTTCGAAGACTTTATAAATGAAATAAGAAGCTTATGCTTGCCGTTTGAATATAAAGCGCTTTTGCATTTTATGGATGTAGTTAAAACGTCGGCTGCTCAATATATTTAAATCAATAACACAATATTCATAAATCGAGTAGTAACGAAATAAAAGAAAAAATATCAAATATGAAGTCGAATCAATTAGGAATACTTACTTATGATGTTTACACAATTTAACATAATTAAAACTATGAGCTACCGTATAGTGTTATGGAAAGCTTAATAGGTTTGTAATAGCCGTAATTGTATCATTCATAAAATATTTTTATTTATTAGAGTTTTAGTATATTTAAAACAATATTAACAAAATGTTCATATATAAACAAGTCGTAATCTATTTAATAAAAGTAAAATATCGAAAATAATTTTTTATATAACAAAACCTTAGGAAACAGGTTTTTGTGTTCAGAACTATGATTTTATTATTTAGTCATTTTTAGTCTTGTAAACCAATTACATAAGTCAATAAAATATCCCGTTGTTTTACGATCCGGGTCTTTAGCAAGAATCTAATATTATAGCTTACAGTAAACCTTTATACTACATAGATCAAGCGCTGTTATGTTGCCGAAGTTAATCAACCTAAATGAGTAAATTATATTTTACATAGGTAGTTGAAATTGTCCACAAAAAAAACTCAAATCATTTTCACAGGTTTTTGTTTTTTTTAACCCAGTCACGTTTATAATACATATTAGTAAGGTACTCTGAATTTTTTTATTGGTATAATCTAGACATTGTGAAAGTTACAAGATGCATTATGTATTTTACAAGATTCAGGTTTTATTAAATATTTATTATCATTTTGATAATTTCCTTATCGAGACAATAACATTATTGATAAATAAACAATAGTGGATATTATTGACACATAACAAAGTCTTGAGCTTTTTTTGTAAAACTGCTAAGAGTGCCTATTATTCGGTACTTCAACGAGACATGAAAATGTTCTTTCGTGGTTACAGACTCGTTTGAAATTTTTTTTAAATTTTATTTTACCGATAAAGATTAATATAAAAAGACTTGATTTTATTTTTAAATAAATGAAACGATCCCTTTATTAGTATTTTCTGTAGTTTTCATTTTAATAGTTAAAAAACGATTTTTTAATAAATAAATAATGTGGCATCCATAAATGATTATTTTATTTTATAACAATTTGAGAATAATAAATGTGATAAATTATTATTTTCCTGAATAGTCCTTTCATCCTTGCAAAATAAAAATTATTATTATTACAGTAAAGTATTAATTATTAAAAAAGTAGCAAAGAATGTCATCCACGATGCAATCATATAATTTCTTGATACTAGAAAAGCCTTTATATGAGCCTACGACATAGTAGCGATAAAAGAATCATGTTTCATAAAAAAATCTAAATCATATATTCAAAATAACTCGCCTAAAAGTTAAAACTATAGCATATACAGGTTGTTCTAAAGTTCCAAAAATGAGCTTATTTAGAGCCGTTATTGATTTTTTTTTACAAATTATGACTTTTAGAGGTATTTTTTTATGCACATTTACGCTTGAATCCAGAATCTTACCATAGGTCCTTTTACTTTTAAAGCCTAAATGGGGACTCGTATTTAAGAAAACTGTATATTATGTCATAGACCAATTTTAAATTTACCTTTGTTACAATTTTTAGACCGCAATTCCTAAAACTTTCCTTAAAATAATTGAAATAGAGAAAACATTTCCATCTTATCTAGGGGAATATTGTTTTGATTGTCAATGTTTATTGGTCTATGTTGTCCATGTTTAAAGAATATTCTATACGAATTGGAATTAATTCATTTATTTTTCAATAAGTTAAGGTGCACTGTATTTAAAGTTAAAAAATTTGTCAACTTTTTAGTTTTTTTCTCAGGTTTGGAAGGGAAAGAATAAACTTTATAAACTATTGGCCAGTGTGTTTACGCTTGTGCGTTTTAAGATGTCAAGATTGTGAAAAGAACACCAAGCATAAGAAGTAAACTCGTGTTTCGGTCCTGTACTGATTGTATCGCTATAACAAAAAAAATGTTATTATATTTAAAATGTTTTGGTAACCGTTTGAATTTTGAAAAATAAAAAAAGTAATATTTTTTGACAGGAACCTAGCTTGAATCAACTGTTATAATCATATTATGCCACCCAGATAAAAATAACATAAATTAACAGTAATTAATTTAATAAGGTTATTGAATTAATTGTCGTAATATTTTTAAGTTTTGCCAAGTAAGTAATAATGAATAAAAGAATGAATTATATAGATTATAAAAAAAAATTTACCCAGTAGACAAATCACATCCATTTTCTTCTTCAACTTCAATTTTAATTTTGTGGACGATTGATTCTCGATTGAACGATTGTACTATTTAACATCCAGTTATTTTCGAAATTCACAAAAATATTAAATTTATTATTGATTCAAATCAAAAACTAGACTGAAGTATTAACTTATAAAGTTTTATAAGGATAAAAGTTTTTCATCAGATACTTGAGCGGTGAAGTGTATCCCTGCAGAAACCAACAGTTTTGTGTACTTAAAATTCACAACCCAGCTAGAGAGGAATCAAGCAATAAGAATATTATCATGATAATATTATACATTTTTATAATTGACATTTTGTTGACAATATTTGTTAGGCAATTGTTGATAATTTAATACATTCCCTATCGAAAAGATGTTAAGCTTTTTAACAAAAACAAATGTTTTCTTTTTTTTTTAATTTTATTTTTGAAAACATTTTTGTTTGTGTTATTTTACACTGATATATATTTTCTAATTACTGTATATTTAGACGAGCTTATGCAAAATTATTTTTTTTTTATTAAATCGCATTTGTTCAGACTATTTATGACCTATCTTCAGACTAATTTTCAGCTCTTAAAAATTAAAAAATAACATACAGTCTTACAATTGTTCCTTAAAATCACATAAGGGAGACTTATTAACATAAATTAAGGCAAGCAGAAGAACATTTTACACGCTTGAAGGATATGCGTTTGTATTATTATTATTATTACAATGTTTGTACAAATTATATTATTATTATCATATATTAAGTTAATTCTGTTGGGTGTTAAACAGATTAATGCAGACAAGGTCGAAATTAAAAGAACCAAAAATAAACGGAAATAAGCGAGAAAAAAAACGAGTGAGTCGTGGAAATTAGTCACAATAAATCTCATAACGGGTTCTACATGAAATAAAATTTTAAAAGAGCAGAACTTATGTGCATGAACTTTATTGAGATACGATTAATATTATTTTATATATATGATATTATCGGTTTATGATAACTATAATACGATACATAAACACAAGACTGTAAGTTGTTCAATTTTCGCTGAACAACAAGATATAACTTGTAATCCAACAAATAAAATTAAGAAACCAATTTCCCAAGCTAAATAATTGGTTACCACGTTAAGGTAAATTTGAAAACTCTTACTATAATCATAGCTGGTGGTGTGATTAATATTAGTTCTCGGTTTGTTGTTGGTCGTCGTCATTTAATATATTTTGTGGGTTTCAAATTAGATGTCCTTCATCCCTATATAGGGACTCTAAATCAGCCATATTTATATAATATAAATAGTTATATCGCCGCCCCGGTAGAACAATGACACAACTGCAATAATTGAAATTTTACAGGAGAATCAAAAAACCAAATTATTTTCACTAAAATGTTAATAATTCATGAATGCACAATTAAATATGAAATTGGGGCTTGGGCAATTATTACAATACAAGTCCACTAATAGGTCTATATATTTTTGTTCGCTATATCCAAACACATTGAAGCATTTAGTCCATTTTACCAAATTTTGCAGTTGTCTTTGTTCTATCGGGGCGGCGATATGATAATATACTATTTCAATTAATATTAAATGAAATATTATTCTAATTAACTGTTTATAAACAATTAACAGATGGATTTATTAATTTATCACGTTCGTAAAGAGGTCGGAGCCACGTCACGGCCGCGACTCGACCGCTCTCGGCTGAAATTAGAGTCGCGCCGAGCAGCCGCGCGGCTACAGGAATCGCACCTTTCAGGTTTTGTTTTATAAAAATAATTTTCGATATTTTGCTTTTGTTAAATGGATTACGACTTGTTGATATATGGCATATGGTATAATATACTGTTATACATTTTGTTAATATTGTTTTAAATATACAAAGCTCTAGTAAATTAAAATATTTTAGGTTTTCTATAACATTATACGGTAGCTTATAATTTTAATTAATATGTTAAATTGTTTAAATATCATAAGTAAATTTTCCAAATTTATTCGACTTCATATTTGATATTTTTTCTTTTATTTCGTAAATAAGTTGTAACTTGATTTATGAATGTTGAGCAGCCGACGTTTTAACTACATCCATAAAATGTAAAAGCACTTTATATTCAAACGGCAAGCATAAGCTTCTTATTTTATTTATAAAGTCTTCGAAATTGTCAATTATTTCTGTTATCAAATCATTGTTGAACAGCTGGCGTTCGTCAACGTTGAAACTGAGCCAATCGATTTCGTTTGTACTCAAACCTTTTAGGATCTCGTTGGCCTTTGTCCTCACTCTTGCTAAAATATCTTTTATGTCGTCGACGTCGGTTAAGTTTGCATAATTGAACTCCGACACAATGGCTATAAGAAATTCATCTTTGAAAGCCGTCAAACTCATTGCGTCGTTTATAATGTTATATATAACATTATTGATGTGTGTTAGAAGCCGATGGTCGAGTATGGTTAATTGTCTTAGGTAAATATCAAGCACAATCGAAATATAACAATAAATTCTGGCATCGATAATTTTGACCAACAAGCGTTGGTGGTCGAGGCGACCGTACGGTTCGTATACCCAAGTGCGGTTGTCCAGAAATTCTCTGGTAATGGCCACCTCGAGATCAAATCGTTGTTTCGCCTTACTCCAGTCGACATTGACGTTTGCTATTTGTCCAAACAATATCGGATTTCCGTCCAGCCAAAACGGTTTCAGATATAAAAACGCTATCGTCACCAAAACGACACGGCCGGCTAGAATGTCTTCAAACAATTCGGAATCTCGTAGAACGCCAAACAAATTATCGTATATCTTGGACTTTTTCGAAAGAAAATCACATTCCATCGCAGTCACAGGAAGGTATTTTTCGGCAACACAATTTTCGATGAATTCTGAAATGTCGGATTGCAGCTGTTGGTTGTCTTCGAATGGGTTTTCCCGGAAATCGTCATCGTGTTGGACGATGGCGACGATTTTCAAATAATAACTCCAAAGCCATTTGCCCGTTTCTAAGTTTCCCGACAACAATAGGTGAAGTACGATTTCGGCTTCTTCTTTAATACGCGTTACAATTTCCTCGTCGTTGCTACTATAAGGTTCTCCGTTTCTTAACTTTTCTATTAAGTTCTTTAAATACGGTATTTTTGATTTTGCAATTACACAAAAACTGCATTTGATGTCTTGAGCTTTTTTCTCTAACCTATCTCGACTTTTCAATTTTAATTTGTAATCTTTTATGGTGTCCCAATCGGGCGTTGACAGAATTCTCACGTCTGCGGATGTAATGATAATTGGATGTTTTTTGAATGTTATCAAACTATTTATGGTACGTACGTAGTCTTCTTCGGATGATTGAGTGAAAAATCGTATAGGAGCAATCTAAATATTTACATAATTATAAAAAAATAACTCTTAAAATAAACCAAGTTGGATTTTTCGTTTAACAATTTTGGGGGCTCCAATGTATAATTTCATGTATCACACATATTGACATAAATTGATTCGGTATGACTCTAATTTCTTTAAACGCCAATTTTTAATAAGATTTGTATGTAAAATGATTGATGAAATGTAATATTTATTTATGTAAATATGTGTGTACCCATTTGTAATAATAATGAATATTAAACTATGAACCATGTAAATGCAGACTCAAAACAATCTATGAATAATTATTTTGCTATAAAGTTTATAAATCTAAAACTTTATTCAGTATATGTATA